AGATCAGTTGCTACGTTGCTCTTAAGTTGCACTTAATAGACCTATTCTATGTGAGCTAGGACCCGCATTTTCGGTGTTCCTGCACAATATGTAAGCGTGTGCTTACGCATGCAACCAGTCAGAAAAGTTCGAAATTCCGATTACCAACGCGTCGTGGCCATGTCAAACGGTGGCTTCGCACATAGCGCAAGCCTTCACGTGAGAAGTCGTTGTCGCCATGTCCCGTAAATAATGGCAGCTATTCGATGGACGTCGTGAATGTCTGGAAGGATAAAAGTTGACATACAGCGTTTCCTATATGTTTCACACAAAGTAATCCTAGTGGGAAACTTGGATCCCATCGCTGTCCGTGATTTACCTATAAATTATATGCAGCATTATTTCACAAAATTGTATTTTTCATGGGCGCCGCCTGCCAAATTAAAACAGATCTTGAAACCTTTTGGGACAGTACCTCTTACCTTTCGCAAATACCATACATGACTGCTGGCATATAAAGTTTTCTCTGGGAGTTCCCTCTTATTTTAGAGCAGGCCGTTGCAGTACTTAAAAATATGAACGGACACACACACAGAAGACGGATCAGGTAAGCCAAAAATGATAGAAATAGCTGGTCCGGCTACTTTTGAGGCCCTCAAATTTTTATTGCCTTTCTGGAAACAAAAGACCTTAGGTAACCAATAAATATCAATCACGGACGCACGCTATTTATAGCAACCTGCAGGATCCCCCTTATTTTGCTGCAGAACCGCTAACCGACCTTAAATAACCTTCGCGTCGCTACCTGTATCCACCCACTGCCCCTTATAAACAATACGCCCCGTGAACAATGTCCTGTATTGTGTCTCACATGTTTGTTAGTGACGCCTACACCGTGCAGGGGCCCACAGGGGCGTAGGTTTGCCACGCGTAACTCTGGAGGCAACTCTGGAGGCGTTGGGGCTGGTTCACTTCGGGCGCGTGGTCATTGCCATTTCCTCCAAAAACTTAGTTAGATTGTCATGGAAAGGAGCTGGGAACTTCGGGGTAATGTCCAAGGCCGAAAACAGATACGGGATACTATTCAAGTTTGTGTACGAGATAAAACAGATATAAACGACAAAGATACGTGCAGGGTGCGATAAACGGGGAACGGTCGCATATTGGAGACGACTAGTTTTGACGATATGCGGTATCACAGGTCGAAGAAAAAAAAGGTCGACCTGAATAAAAGGTCTGTTTCAACCGACACAACACTTTGAATTGCGGGACACCAGTTTAAAGGTCACTGCTCGTTCTTTCGTAGTTACCGCTTGCCGTCAGCCATCTTGGCCTACGTGACCGTCTTACCCCTCTGTTGCCGTTGTGCCAATTTCTTGTACCAATGAGTCTGAACAAATTAAGCGTTTCGGAAGTCAATTTCTGTTGCAAACGAGTGCTAATCAGGTTTGTTAAGTCTGGTTCTGTCTGATTCCGCTTTATAACAGAGTTGATTTCAATGTTCCCATGAAGGACGGAAAATGCACGAATAACCAGAGGTATGACAGTTGCGTCTCAACGTTGCTTTTTACCTAAGAATCGTTGCGGCTATGCCCACTGTAAAGTATTGTTTAGAGCAAGGTGCCAAAAGTGTTGTCCTGATGTCTCACATGGGTCGGCCTGATGGACAGCCAAATGAGAAATACTCTTTGAAGCACATTGTTGACGAGGTTTCAAAACAGCTCGGCAGGCCCGTCAAATTTTTGCGCGACTGTATAGGGGAAGAGGTCTCCAACGCCTGCAGGGATCCTGAGCCCGGATCCGTCTTTCTTCTGGAAAATTTGCGATTTCACGTGGAGGAGGAGGGCAAAGGCCTGGGGCCGAATGGCGAGAAAGTAAGTGTTGCTTAGCGTTGCGAGTCTACTGTTTCAGTGGATGTTAACACGATCTAGTTTTTCTGAAGTTAGTTTTGACATCTAGATAGCGTGATTCGGAAGATATTACTAACTTGCATTATCCCCGCTGAATTTTCCAAGTCAGTGAGATTCTCTTCGTGCATCTGAAGTGCAGCAAAAGACTCAGTTACTCCTCCGCGAACTATTTTCTCCCCTCTCTAAGTGATTTGTTCAGACATAATCCTCCCACAATACACCATTTCGCACATTTGAGAATCCGGAATGCGTTCGTGTCTGTACATGCATGCTTCCATTCTAGGACATGTGATGTGGCAGAGCAAGCCCGTTAAGTTTTCATGTCGCCCCGTTTCCGTGCCTTTGTTTTTTTGGGCCCACTCCTGAGTTCTAGCGTCGTAGGTTATCAACTCAAACATATCTGTGATTGCATATAGACAGGTGGGCTATTTCCCTCTGATGCTTATACAAGCGCTTCTCGTTCGAGAGGGAAATCTATAACACGTAGATTATATCAGTCCACCCGGCAAAAATCTAGCAGTGGCGCTCAGATAAAAGCTGCCACGTTCTTTGTTCGTGTCCCACGTCCGTAAGTTTGGCGTCTCAAAAGGTATAGTGATGGGCACTGTTTCCCTTGGCCTTGCTGTTTTTGCAGACAACCTCTTCTCTTGGATAGTGTCCACTTGGCGGACATGATTATTCAGCGTATTAAAGGAGGCTGAGATTTCGCTGCACACTTTTATATCGTACGCATATTGCAAATTACTAAAGGCGTTGTTCTCCTGAGTGTCCTCTACTGCGTTCGGAAAGTTGGAATACGTAATTTTCGATAGGTCCGAGGGGTGTTGTTCGCTTCAACGTTCTACGTGGTCTTAAGTGCCGTTTCTGAACTACTCGGTCCCAATTTCGGCATCCAGTTGCCCGTCAACACTACTGCCGTTTATCTAGCCGACCATTATCGCCACCACCATCATCCTTTTCACCACCGGTAGTCAACTCATTTGCTAGACTACTGCTTTTTCATTTTAAGTAGTGGCAAGTATAAGACAGTGCTTAAATCGGTTCGTTTTCAAATGTCATTTCAGATTAACCTGACCCAATGTGTTGTTGGTTCCGTGCAGCAGAATGTACAGTTAACTCACAAAATATCACTCGCTGTTCTGTCCTGAGTAGTCTTCCGTGAGTTCTTTCGGGCCTTTTTATGGTATGGAAAAGCTGAAGTAACAGTAACTAGGTCTATTTGGCACATGCCGACTTGGCGCTTTCAATTTGTTTCGGTGCAAGCCCAGGCTCTGTGCGCGGACCAGGTGTGTAGCAAGCGCAGACGGACCGTTTAGCCCTCAGCCAATGCGACCGATTCCGCGTCCGTTCCTTTTGACCGTCTTGACTCCAGACTCGGGTGGGTGGAGGAAGAGAATGAAGTGGATGCAGCGCAAGCCTTCATCACCATAAATTGGCTCGCGCATAAGTCGTCTTTGCGCCCACTCCGCTGAGCACACGGTAACGTCGTCGGTAACAACGGTCGAACTGCCATATCACTCGCCGATTTAGTAACTGAGCTGGATTAAACGGACTGTTATTAAACCTTTTACAGGTTAAGGCTTCACCCGAGGCTGTGGCCAAGTTCAGTGAAGCACTAACTAGTCTCGGCGACGTTTACATCAACGACGCTTTTGGTACCGCTCACCGGGCCCACGCGTAAGTCCTATGCTATTTTAAATAACTTAAAACTCCCTGAAATAACATTAAGGCACGAGACGCAAACTGACGTACCCCCTTCTGTTCATACCTTATCTTCGTAACAGCTCCATGGTCGGATGCAAACTCCCGATCCGCGCTGCTGGCTTCCTGATGAGCAAAGAGCTGGAGTACTTTGCTAAGGCCCTTGACAATCCCGTCCGACCATTTCTAGCTATTCTTGGAGGGTATGTTTTCCGTCACACTTTTCTTCTTGCTACATGGCAAAGCTGTTTTGTCCCAGTGGTCACTGACTTAGCAACCTGATTTCGTGGGGCATCAGGATCGTAAAAACCTGTGATATTTTCTAGTGCCAAAGTTAGTGACAAGATACAACTGATCAACAATATGCTGGACAAGGTTGACGAACTCATAATCGGCGGAGGAATGGCTTTCACGTTCCTGAAAGTCCTCAACAATATGAAGGCAAGCCACTATTCTGAACTTTAGTCATAACCACTTCCAAACGCGCCCACCCTACTTGTATAAAACCACAAGTCTACATCTTTCAGATCGGCAACAGTCTCTACGACGAGCCAGGAGCCCAAACAGTAAAGGGTGTCATGGAAAAAGCGAAGTCAAAAAATATCAAGGTGCATCTGCCCTGCGACTTTGTGACTGGAGACAAATTCGCAGAAAACGCTGCCACGGGAACGGCAACGGTTGAGTCTGGTATTGACGATGGCTGGATGGTACGTTATCCTTGATTACGTGAAAATTTCCTAAGGGACTTGATTGTGGCCCAAAGTCGTCGAAAGAGTTTGCTGAAGCCATCTCTAGAGCGAAAACCATTATCTGGAACGGACCAGCAGGTGTATTCGAATGGGAGAACTTTGCGAAGGGCACGAAAGCTGTTATGGACGCTGTCGTCCAAGCAACTGCCAACGGTGCCATCACGATAATCGGTAAGCATACTTAGGTATCTGAGTGTTCCAGTCTAGATTGCATCGCTGCTCCATCGCCCACAAAAAAAGTTTTTTGCATTAGTCCATCATCATCATTCTTCCAAGTTTTGCACGTGCCAGTCACTTCCGTTTTATCTAGCAATATGTATGTAGTCGATAGTATGGCGCCTCATCGACGATTCCCTTCTATCCTAATTTAGGCGGCGGCGACACAGCCACGTGTTGCGCTAAGTGGCACACAGAGGACAAGGTCAGCCATGTCAGTACAGGAGGTGGTGCTAGCCTGGAACTTCTTGAGGGCAAGGTACTGCCTGGCGTTGCCGCACTTTCGGATCCTTAATGTTTGCCAAAACTTATGGAAGAGAGCGCCGCTTTTCAGTTTAGTTTTCTGCATTTGATTTCGACCAATATATTGTCCAAGGCCCCTCACCTCTTTTTAAAAGGAGAACAGTTCAGTGGGTATGAAATATGTATTTAGGCTAAGGAAACTGGGAGGAGGCAGTCAACATGCTAGGAGATCGCGATTAAAATGTGGGCGTGCTGACCAAGAAGCCGGGATCCATCGCAAGATCTCAAGATTCGTCTGGAACAAGAAGAATTCGGTTTTTTAAAAAGGCGTATAAACAGCCAGATACCAGTTATTAGAACGCTAATCAAATAGCTAAAGCCTGTCAGCCCAATGTGAGGCTGAGCTAGGGCAATCCCACTACATGCCCTGCGCAGGCCTCTTGGGTATCAGTTGGAGGATGAACCCCTGCTTTGTGCACTTGTCATGCAGAGGATCGTCAAGCCTGGGATACTGTCGCGGTCAGTGGTTTATGGACCTTCGATGACCCATGAAGGCCCGTGTCTGCTGGCCAGAGGTAGTAATTTATGGAATCGTAATAATTGGTTAGGATTGAGCGCTGGGTAGGATAGCAATATAATAAACGAACCTTGGTGGGCGTCCCGTGCAACGGACACGAAGGTAGAGGCGAAGGGTGTTTTTGACACCCAGACTTGTGGTGGTACGAACGGCCCGGCGGCTTGTGGCAGAATCGGTGCTTGACGGTAGCCCGCCTGCGAAGTGGCACCATGGGCTGAGACCATGCGGTCACCGCGCACTGACGCCGTGGTCGGTTGCGGTGGCTGGAGGTAAGTTGTTTGACTGCGGTCTAGTGTGCGACGGATCTGCATAGCATGCATTTCCTTTTGTAGTTGGGCCACTCTCAAGTGCTGCTGCATGATCTGAGAGGACAGTGCCTGAAATACAAAAGCCCATAGACCAAAAACTGAACTATTGTTGCTTCCAAGCAGGAGGGGCTAGCGCACAGGATAGTAAATTGTTCTACGGCACGACAGAGCCCGCGACTACGGAGTACGACTACGAAAGTACGAGACCACTAGAAGCCGTATGGCATGATATGCCGAGACCCAAACCTCCAGGACTTCCACCTGCAGCAGTGAGTGTCCGCGGATTCGATTCTTCCACGGGAACCCGGAAGTTACAGAGGTGGGAGCGGACCGCTACAGGGAGGTCCTTCTCTATTTGTCATGTAGGACACTGTGATCGGAAGGTGGTGACCTCCAGCAAAGTGCAGACAACCTACGTCATTTCACATCCGGAAAACTATTGAAAAGAGGTCACAAAGTCGAAGAGATGGGGGGGGGGGAGTGGTTAGCATCTGAAGTCTGCTGTGACTCGGAGGGTCCGCTGGATGTTTAGGTCGTGAACAGCCATAAGAATACGGCCCAGTGTTTCGCAGTCACGCTTCTAATTTGTATATTTATAGATCAAAACAAACCTGGATTTCATCCTGAACCGTCTCTACTGATGAAAACGGCTGTCTCACAGATGGAGCAGTCAAGGCCATTGAGACTTGCTGTTCTGTACTCAGAGCCGTTGGCTCGGTGTTTCGGACACTACCTTGAATCGGCACATAATTAGGGTAACCGACAAACGGCATTGGCGACATGGAGGACAGGGAAGCTGCTGAAGTTGCGACAAGGCTAGTCGGGGAGGCGAACTGGACTGGGCCGGAACAGGGTGGCCTGGAGGTTTCGCCAAAGCCGTTAAATGGCGGTATGAGACAAGTGGATAGAGGAGTTGTCGCCGAACTCCACTCCTGGCCGACGACGCCGGGAATGAGGAAGGGTCGACTCAGGGCTTGGTTCATCATAACAGAGGCCAGGTTTGAATTGAGACGCAAATTCTCTGACACTAACAGCTGGCATGTTTGTGTCAAATGGTCCACCTTTCTCTCCAAAGAAGCGAGGTCTGCGAAGGAGTAAGAAGAAAATACAAAGGACTACAGGATAAATTAGCAAAAATGCCCTAGCTGTGCTTAAGACCCTCAAAGTTGCATATAAAAGGGCGTGGACCACGCATGGAGCCAGAGTGAGTCCGTCAGGCCTGAGGCAAAAATGTGGAGGTCGGTAAGAGAAGACCCCTCATCGTTCCGGTCTCGGTGTGCGCTCTACTTCTGGGAGTCCATCCACAACGTGGAAAATCGGATCATGACGGCTAGAGTACCTAGAACAACCCGAGAAAAACAACGGGGAAAATGTGGTAGAGATCGAACTTACATCCGGATGATGGTGGCAGACGATCTTGAGTGATGGCGCAAACAGGCTGCCGCCGCCGTTAACGGCACGGAATGCCTAACATGGATGATTTCTTGCTGCTGGAGTCGTGAGGGTCGAGCGGCACAGCAATGATTAGGCCTACTGCAAGTTCACATGTACAGTAGGTGGGCCAACTCATAAATGTCAACGGAAATTCCGAAATCCGTTTTCGTTTCAAAAAGGTTAATTAAGTAGGGTTGTAAAACCAATCATCATGCAGCATAATTCTATAATAGTTCGAACAAACTCCTTTTCGGCTGCATCCGAAAACCATACTTCGCAAAAATGACTACTTAAGTAGCATGCGTTTCTTTCATTGATTTTCGATACTCTTTAAATATTCAATTATATTTCATGAAAAAAATGTATAGAAATAATCAATATTTTTCTCATTCAGTAGAAAATTACGTCTTCGTCCAATTTTATACTCGAAGAAAGGGTATAATTCGATTTTAAAAAGTTTCTAATTGTGAGATTTTTTCAATACCGTGAAATAGCACTTCATAAAACGTCATATACCTGCATTTACCAATGTGGCTCAAATCCACCGTTTAATTTATAAACTCTATATGGTCCCCCTTTATTATCGTAGAGAAATGTATGGTTTTCCGTACGCGGAAATTATATGGCTTATGGTTTGGGAACCCTGAATGCAAGTGTATCGGCAGGTTGGGTTCAAAATTATTCGGGAATTGGAAATGTTTTATAAAACCAAATTATATGCTTCCATCGAGTGTAAAATTAGAAGACGTAATTTTATACTGATTAAGCAAAAGAATGAATATTTTGTACATTTTGTCCATGAAATATAATTGAATCTTTAAAGGCATCGAGAATCAATGAAAAAAGGCATGCTACTTAAGTAGTCATTTTTTGCGAGGTATGGTTTTTGGATGCAGCCGAAAAGAAGTTTGTTCGAAAGCCGGCGTCCTGGGGGTAACTGAACTATTATAGAATTATGCTGCATGATGACTGGTTTTAAAACTCTACTTAATTAATCTTTTCGAAACGGAAAGGCATTTCAGAAGTTCTGTTGAGATTTCTTGAGTTAGCCCACTTACTGTGCATTCCTGCCATGGTAGATTGAAGAAATTGCTTCGGGATACACCTAATCCTCCCTACGACCGATAGTGCAGCACCCCGGGACATTGCTGCAGGCTCTACTACAAAGCTTTCAGGTTTTAAAAGTTTTTAATTGTGGGACTTTTAAATACCGTGAAATGACTGTTCATAAATCGTCATGTCTCTGCATTTGCTAATTTGGCTTGTAAAGTTAACAATATGGATCAAATCCACTGCCAAATTTTATGAACTCTATTTGGTCCCCCTTTAATGACGTAGAGAAATGCGTGGTTTTCCGTACGCAGAAAATATACGGCGTGTAGTTTGGAAACCCTGAATCTAAGTGTAATGGTAGAGCGGATTCAAAATTATTCGGGAATTGGGAAACTTTTTGAAAACCGAATTATACATTTCTTTCGAGTATAAGATTGGAAGAAAACGTAATTTTCTACCGAATGAACAAAATAATGAGTATTTTTACGCATGTTTTCCATAAAATATAATTGGATTTAGGGGCGTCGAAAATCAATGAGAAAAATTCATGCCATTTAAGAAGTTATTTTTTGCAGAGTGCAGTTTTTGCATGCAGTCGGCAGGAAGTTATTTGGAAGCCGGCTTCCAGAGGTAATTGAACTATTATAGAATTATGTTGCAGGTTGACTATTTTTACAACCCTACTTAATTTATGAGTTAGCCCACTTACTGTACATTATACAGCCACTTGAAATGCAAAAGCGAGTCAGAGTCTACTAGGTGCTCAAGTTCAGACAACTGTTTTATACAGATCAGATTGGCAAAGTTGAGAGATCCGGGTTGATTATTTGAAGAAGATGGGCTGTCCGGAACAGGTTTATTTAAATGCTGACGTTTCAAAGAGCTTGGTCGGCTCTGGAATTGAATCTCTTAGAAAGTTATAGGCCCGCACTTCTGTTTTTGCACAATTTCAGTTGGAAACGAGGTAAAGAAAAGGAGGGATAGAAGTTAACAAGCATTGGCTGTGCAAAAAATTAGTTTGGATGTCTACCTCCAGAAGAACAAAATAGAGTCGTATCTTTATCACAGATAGATTCGACGTACGATCTCGATCTGACCAACCCATTAAAAGAGGTAGCACCAGGGAGACTGTCGCACAATCAAGCGTTCAAACCGTTGAAAGACGGGAATAGGAGAGCTTACGCGAACTGATCGTGTCTACGTGATTTCTGCCTCCGTTTGCTACTATGGTGGTATTGGCACGGTCTGAATCGATGGTCCCGGGTCCGTCATTTGAGGTGCTGATCCTGTCATAATGTGCTGGCTGAGAGAGAGGTGATGGACTGTGCCCCAGGCGAGGCAACGCGATGTCAACAGGCTCTGAGCGACAGTCACCGTCGAACTTTCCACGGACCGCCGATGTGTTGGAGATATGACCATCCAAGTTACCGTTCGACGGTCTGACTGGACAACCGTGTAAGGGATTTGCGATGGTCTTGTCTGGATAAGGCGAAGGGATATACTAACAGGTAAACCCAGGTCAAGAGGCATGTTAAATTCCTAAGACTGCAAAAGGGTCGGAGGTCAATAGCAGTGTTGAACAAATAACACCCGGGTCAGCCCGGCGTTAAGATACGGCTGGCTGACAACAGCAAACAGTTGGTGTTGCGGGTGTATGGTAAGAACCATGAAAACGACTAT